CTGCCCCTCACCTCTGTGGCCCCACGAGCCTGTGAAGCGCCGGCGCAGCTCTGGGCGTGAGGCTCTGACAGCCGAGACGCTTTGGCCCGTGACGTGGGCTTTGTGGATTAACTGTCCTGATGAACATCAAACAGAGAAACGTTGGGAGCATCTACTGAGGGTTTGGGTGGACCCATCTTTCCTGCAATGAAACCACCACACCTCACACAAAACTTACCTGGAGCATCATGGAAAGTCAGCAAAGAACAAGTAGAAAGCAACAAAAGCGATTTAAAGCCCCTTCATTTTTAAGCAGTTACCGTGGATGAAGATCATCCCCACAGGCAGAGCTTGGACATTCACAGCTGCAGGGCATTTTCCTCTGGAGAAGCTGCCCTGTCATGCAGTCTCACCACCTTTCCTCTGCCCCGGGGCAGCTCCTGCCAGCGTTTCAGCAGCCCCAGACCAGCCCTGTGTTTCCATCAGCTGCCGGGGCTGTGCCGGGTTGCCGCAGCCCTTCCCGAGTTGGGCTGGCCAGGGTGGGATGCTGCTGGTGGAAGCTTTGCGCTGCAGCTCACCCCAGCAGCCAGCACAGCCCCTCGGTGACACTTGTGTCACAGCTCTGCCCTCGCTGCCTGCTCAGGGCGTCACAAAAATGCAGGGCAGGCTTCCAGGAACCATTTTTTTTCTCTCCTGTGATCAGCAGAGAGGGGTTTTAGCATGTGGTGGGAGCAGGAGTGTGTACTTGCTACAGACACTTTGCAGCACAGAGAGGTTGGTATGAACCGTGGTTCTCCGGAGCATGCAAAGATGTGTACAAATACAGATGCAGTGGCTTTGGGTTGGGGTTTTCGTGTGTTTTACCACAGCGGCATTTTTCACAGTGCTGTTTCTCAGCCTCCTTGCAAAGCAGTCGAGGTAAAATCTCAGCCCCTTCAGCTTCAGCCTGTGAATTCCCAGGTTGATTTCACTGACTAAGGGATGATCCACAGCAGCTTCTTCATGAGCTGCACCACTAACAGGGCAGCAGCCCTGATGCCCAGCCCTGCTCCCAGCTCTCTTGCCCTCTCTGCCACCTCCTGCATCCCTGTCCCGTCCCTTCTCTGTCCCAACCACTCCCGCACTGAGCACAGCGGGTCCAGCCGCCCCCAGACGATGGGCAAGGAGGGGATTACAGGAGCTTTACCTTGAATGATCCAGACATGAAGGAATTTAATCTGGGTTTGAAATAAAAAGTGTTTATTTACCTTCTTCCTCTGAGTCACTGCTGAAACATCTCATCCTTAGCCGCCATGTCAGGAGCACGATCGCTCATGAAGTGTCCTGCAGTGTCCTTCTGACCTTCCTCTGCGCAAAGGGAAACCCCTCAGTCCCGGAGCTTTGCTCTGCCCCCAGCATGATCCTGCCTCCCTCTAGCCAGGCCTTTCTGTTGCGCTTGACGATAAATCTAGTGGTTAAGATCCTGCTCCTCTTTTTCAAAATGAAGGTCAAACCCTGATCTCGGCAACGCCAAGTACCTTTTTCATCAACTCGAAAGGGAGTTAATTTGGCCCATGGGGGCAACATGATGGACTCATTTGTCCAATACCCGAATTGAAGAGCTGCCTCAGCAGTGAAGGGACACAGAGGTGTCTGGGGTGATGTAAAACACCTTTTCAGGATCTGGGTTCAAAAAAAGCAAAACATCCAAACAAAATCCACAAAGAATTTACTGGAAACCCCTTGGTAAAGGTTGGCGTCATCTCCCATGTGAGACGTTCTTTAACAGTGGAATTCAGCATTGCTAAATCCCACCCAAATGGTTGCTTTCGGCAGGAATTTACTGGGTTTGCTTCTGGTTCAACAAAATAGGTAAAGACATGAGTAATCTGACTGACCTGGGGGCTTCATAGCAGCACAGTTAACAGCCACAGACTTTGGCTGCATTTGGAGCAGCACAGGGAGCCGTCAGCGACGTGCAGTGGGTGTTTTCACCCCGACACACTCACCTCTTCGTCCCATCCCAGCATCAGAGTGGGCTGTCACCTCGTCCAGCTGTTACCCCTCCAGCGGCGGCTCCGCCTGGTGAAATCCAACTGGAGACGGCGACTGCGCCTTTGGCTCGGAGGCTTTTATGGGGCTGGCAGATGGACCCGGCAGCCAGGGCAGCGTACGGGGCCTCGGCCGCAGCGGTGGCGGACAGGCCCCAGGGGCTCCTCTGCTCCTGCTTGGAGACTTTTAGAGGAACAAACATTTGCGATGCTTCAACCTGAGAGACTCTCTGCTAAATTAGCCAAGGGAAATGTCAGCGTTTGTTTGGGATCTCAGCTCTTATAGTTTCCAGGTAGTGCTTCAGTGTTACACCAGCCAGCTGAAAAACTTCTCCCCAAGGGACAGCAAAGGTGGCTGGTGCGGGGGGCGGCCGCGGTCCCACATAAACCCGGCTGCACCCTTCACCCCCCGGTGCTGTTTTACACACAAAAAGCCGTGGGTCTGAAAACACCACGGTAACCAGGACAAAAGGCATCACCTTCAACCCTCCTCCTTCCACCTGAGAGGGGTGGCCATGCCAGAAGGGAAATATCATCCTGGGAACAGCTGTGCAAAGCAGGAGGCAGGAGGTGGGCAGGAGGACACACCACTCACCCAACGTGCACACAGCCAACCAGGAGCTTCTCCAGAGCCATCACTGCTGAGCCCCTGGACTGCAATTGCTGGAGGAAGGTTTGTCAGAGACCCAAAACCATCTCTGAGGGCAGAGCTTGCTCTCCTCCTCTCACTGCAGTACAGCTCTCCCCAGACCATGCCTGGGTGGAGTCCTGCTGCTGCTCGATGCTAGGACACATCTCCAGGGTCTATCTGACAGCACAGAGGGTGCACGTGGGGTTACTGTGGCACCTGAGCAGATCTGAGAAGTTCAGACGCTCTGTGCTTACGTGGCTAATGCTGCAACACCAGCATTTTCCCAGAGATCTCCAGCTGGGAATGTTTAGCACATAAATGCTGGAAATTTATCCAACTCCAGAACTCTATTTGCTTCAACTGACGAACTTACTTTTATTTCCCCCGCTCAGAGTGGTTCTGCTTTTAAGGTAAAGACAAAAAACCCCACAGGGTGAGTGTTTGGCACCTGACACATCAAACCATCGCTGTTCAGTGTCAGAACACCTTGCAGAGCTGTTCTGGGTGGGGGACTTGTCCCAGGACACTCCCCAGCCCGACACGGACAGGCAATATCCAGCCTCCACCACACACAGAAGCCTCCCACTGCTCTCCATCAAAGCTCCTAATGAAGTTAAGTTACAGGGATATTTAAAACCACATTGCCTACACTGCCCATTACAGCACCATTTGATTATTTCCACACCAGACACGATTTCCACAGCATCTGCCCTTTCCCAGCTGCACCTCCCCGAGCAGAGGCAGCAACGCGGCTGCAGCTCTAGCCAGGAGCCACAAAAAAACCCTTCAGGTACAGGGAACAAGCGTAAGAGCACATTTAAAACACAATTGTCACATGAGTTTTTTTGTGTAGGAAAGGGGTTTTTTTGCCCAACAGGTGGGATTTAGTAACTACGAAAGGGAGAAGTACAATTAGGAGGTTAAAATATGCAAGTAGCTTATTCTCACTTGACCAAGAACTTCACCTCACTCTTTAATAATTTATCATTGCTGGATGACAACAGATGAGCTGCAGAAGCTATGATTAATTAATATAATTTAAAAACCTGGAGCACAGCTATTTTCCC